CATACCTGCCCACATACAGAAGTCGCCACAGAGGCGGAATTTCATCTCCGCAGTGTTTGTTTGGAACTGAGCTCGCAGGATACAGCATCGCAGTTGGTTTCAGGTAAGCTAACTGGAATAAATTGGCAGAAAATAGCTATGTTGTTTCTTCTGTGACCGTTAAAAGAGGTTCCTGGTGAGTGGCGAGGCACGACTTTGTGTATATAGCTTAGCACAGGTCCCCACCAGCTAACGTTATTTTTCATTAGCTGTTAGGTAGTTTAGCGGTTTAGCTCATATTAGCTAACAGGCTACAACTGTGGTGTTTTCATTTTATTTTCCCTAGTTGATGTTATCTGCTCATCTGGTTATCGTGAGCACTCGTTTTGGGTTAAAGTGGAAGTGCCCAGAGCTGCCACCCGTGGTCCAGCGGCCCCCCGGCCTGACCTCCGGGGCCCTGGACATGTGCTCAAGTGTCTGGGAGAGGAGCGCGGAAGTAAGGCGGGGCGGGCCGACACTGTGTATCCCAGAACAGGTGCTCCAGTGTGGGTTGACAGGAGCGGAGAGGAGCGCGGAGGTCAAATAGTGAAGTTTAAGAATGCCTTCGGTATGTTGTTAATATGATTTTATGGGCAATTTATCAGTCGAGGTCTCCTCCTCTGCAAAGCAAACTGACCCGGTGGCTACAGGTAATAGAGCCATTTTGAAACCAATGTTTTTCCGAGATGAAGGACTGATTGTTGAGCTACTGTTAACAGTTAACGGAGTTAACGCCGGATCCCGTTATTTAACCGTTACAACACTAAATTAAGCAGAGTGACGGACCCAAAGCCTTCAATCTGGCTAAAATACAGCTGAATTGCTAACAAAAAAAAAATACAGTGGTGAAGTTGGGATTTGTTTCTTGAAGTTATGTGCTCATCATCTTTTCTGCGTCTTGCAGGCTGCCAGGAGAAGCAGACTGGCCATCAGATATTGTTTGTGGAAATTTGAAAATAAAGTTTGTCAAAATGACTTTTGTCTCTTCATTGTGCACGCTTACACACGAAATAGGGTAACAGTCAGCTATTTTTGAACGTTAGCATTGATTTCTCACATGGAATGGTGAAATATTTGTAGTTTGAAAGGTCCGACCTAAATGAATAAAGGTCGTAGTTAACGAAGCATACGAATATTAATGATGGAGCGCTCACTGAGCACTTTTTATTGATCGTTTGAAGGTCACGTGGTGATCATTTTCGATTAAAGGCCGACATCTCAGCGACGTCTTGGCAATGAGCAAACGCTCTCCCTGCTACGTCTTAACGATCGAAACTTGATACATCAGGCCAACGTCGGCCAGACGTACAGTACAGGCCAAAAGTTTGGACACACCTTCTCATTCAATGCGTTTTCTTTATTTTCATGACTATTTACATTGTAGATTCTCACTGAAGGCATCAAAACTATGAATGAACACATGTGGAGTTATGTACTTAACAAAAAAAGGTGAAATAACTGAAAACATGTTTTATATTCTAGTTTCTTCAAAATAGCCACCCTTTGCTCTGATTACTGCTTTGCACACTCTTGGCATTCTCTCCATGAGCTTCAAGAGGTAGTCACCTGAAATGGTTTTCCAACAGTCTTGAAGGAGTTCCCAGAGGTGTTTAGCACTTGTTGGCCCCTTTGCCTTCACTCTGCGGTCCAGCTCACCCCAAACCATCTGGATTGGGTTCAGACAGACAGGAGGTCTGCGTCACTGCGACGCTGAGCGTGAGGGTGGGCGAGTTCAACTTTCTGTCAACAAAGGGGGTGTTTTGAACACACCCCCATTTTCACAGGTAACTTAGCCTGTACCCCCCCCCCACAGGAAATAATGGATTAATCCTGGAAAGCTGTTGATGTAGCACTTTTCTCCTCATGAAAGTAACACGGCGATTATTTGACTAATGAGAATTTGGTCGGACGAGAGCATAGGGACCAAATAATCAACTAGTCGACCAGGAGACTACAGCCCTAATTGATATTGATTTATATTCTGTATCAATACTGAGAGATGAAAACCTCCTTAAAGCTCAGCACACTGTGCTTCATCCCTCCTCATCCTCTCTCCTGCTCTGTATGTGGAACAGGAAGTGGTATGTGGGTCAGAGCACATATGACAGGACATGCACGGGGAGCAGAGACACACACACACACACACACACACACACACACTCACACACAAACAGATTGTGTGTGTGTGTGTGAGTGTGTGTGTGTGTGTGTATGTGTGCACGTGAGACTCTCGAGCTTTTTCCAGAGCACAAACAGCTTCCTCTGCTCGACAGTGGTTGTTGGCGAGCGTCCAGACGAACTCTCAGAGTTTATTTTAGAGAGCAGCTGAAGCGTGTGGAAAAGGATTACTGCAGAAACTCCAAACATTCAGACAGTTAAAAACATGAGCCGCCATGTTGGAGAGATTTCCTCCATGTGTGTTTCTCTTCAGACGTTCAGCTTGTATGAACACAGAAACATGTTTCCAGCAAATGTTCCTCATGCTGCTGCTTCACGTCCTCTCTGTAACCTCTGCACATCTCAGCCTGTAGTCAGAGGTCAAAACTGTGTCTCTGAACCTCTCTGTGGTACGTTCACTGATGGTGGGAGAAGCTGTGGTTACAATAAATATTCTTGCATTAACAGTGAACCACATGACTTCCTGTTTATCAGCATGGTCACAGAACTACATTATCACCAGCTGTGCTGTTCACCTCAGCTCTGTGATGCCAGCTTCACCTTATTGCTTTAGTTCACTCTCACAGCTCTCATCACATCGTCTCAGCTCTTAAAATCCACGTTCACTCTCTGACCTGCTCAGCAACAAATAACAAACAACACACGACTGTGTTTCACTGAGTCCGCCGCTGGTGATGGCGGCTGTCACACAACCCCAGTTTGAAGCAGCAGGCAGAAGTACTGACACAGACGTTAGATAATGTCCTGCTGTGGACGGAGGCAACAACAAAATACATTTTAACCACCCAAACCGACAACATTAGTTTAAGTGTACGTTATCTTACTGTCAGACCGAGATTTCAGATGTGGAACTGCAGCTGTTATCTCTCTCTCCTCAGAGCCAGACTTCATTTAGAAAAACAGTGATTTAAGATCAGTGAACACAGGAGGTCGACTGCTGCTTCCGTCTGTTAGTGTGTTTGTGTCACTGTGTGACTTTGATGTTTTAAAGGTTTAAATCAGATTCAACAACACAGACTAACTAATGGATCGAGGCAGCAGTAAACCTGCAGCTCATGTCTTCAGCCAGCTAAAATCACTGTTTCTGTTAATGGAGTTTGGTTCTGACGAGAGCTGAGATGGAAAACTAAAACCATGAACAGCTTCCTGTCAGAGAGGGTTGTCTGACGGCAGGGTGAAGTGGTGGAAATGTTGTAAATATAACGTCCAGCCAAACTGATGGCAGATGTCTGTTTTATTGCTGCCTATAGCTGCACATCACTTTGCTCTCATGTTGGTGCTCTGCAGACAAGACGACCAACATCTAACTGTGGTAACACACTGACCCTGGGTCAGTGCTTCATACTACCTCACTGCAAAACATCTGAACCTTTAACTCACCCAAACTGACTCAGACAGGTTGTAGGCAGATCTTATGTCTATCAGGTCTTCTGTAGCTACACAAATCCAGCCCAGTCCTCTTTAAGAATAACTGTTTTGTGACAGGCTCCATGATACACTCGTTCCTCTTTAAAACTGGGACAGAAACGGTCAGATGACCTCAAATATGTGTTTGTGAACATTTTTCCCATTGTCTCATGGAGCTGATGATGAGTAGGAAGGAGCAGAAAACACTCCTCACATCCTCCTCCTCCATCCATATTGCTTTATAAAAGACACAGAAACACTGGCTCTGAGTACACCGACAGGAAACAGCCCTCTGGGTCTTGACTCCACTCCTCTGCACAAACTCTGCACCCACAGGCTCCAAAATACAAACACACAATCTGCAGTCTGTAAAACGATCGACTCAAACTTCCCTCAGGAAACTGAAATCTGTCGAACCTCTGATACAAACTGAGCTGCATCCAGAGAAGAAGAAGAAACACTACTGAGAGCTGAGTGATGATCAGACTGAACACTGCTGATCTGTTCTGTACGACATCTATTGCACGTCTGTCCGTCCTGGAAGAGGGATCCCTCCTCAGTTGCTCTTCCTGAGGTTTCTACCGTTTTTTTCCCCGTTAAAGGGTTTTTTTGGGGAGTTTTTCCTGATCAGCTGTGAGGGTCATAAGGACAGAGGGATGTCGTATGCTGTAAAGCCCTGTGAGGCAAATTGTGATTTGTGATATTGGGCTTTATGAATACAGCTGATTAATTGATTGATTGATTGATTGATTGATTGATTGGGACTGTGTTAACAGAGAAAACACTGGTATGAGCAGGGTGGGGACATATAGGGGGAAGGCAGATGGAGGCGGAGACAGGGGGACAGTTTGTTTTGGTGGTAACCGTCATATCAAAGATGGTTCTGATTGAGGACGACAGATTCAATGAAATAATTCAAAGGTGAGTCACTGCTGCAGCTGCTGTGTTTTATGAGCCTCACATATTTTATACATCATATTAAATCCTCTCTGTTAGAGGAGGGACTGATGTCATACAAAACAGTAACATCTCTAAAAAAACTCACTGTCACACACGCCATCGCCCAGTAGAGAGGTCTGGATGGACGATGAAGGAGTGTGTGTGACGTATCATGTTTGTGTGAGACGCAGAGAGCCGCAGCAGGAAGTGAGAACCCAAACACTGAGGTCAGTCTCGTTCTGCTCACTTCAAACATGACTTGATCATCTGATGTTATAGATACATCAAGTATAATCTATAAATCACTCAGCCTGACACTGTGACCTTTTTCAGATCATTATACCAAATATAAACGTCATGCTTCATCGTAACTTCTTCTTCTGTCATCAGCAGCTGTTTGTTCAGATCAGCCCTGAACAGCCCTAACCCTACGACACAACATCACAGTGTTCACTGACCTCGGTGACGTCCATGACCTTGATGGCCGCCAGCTGACCCGTCTTGACATGTCGACCCTGGAGGGAGAACAGAGGAGAGGAGAGATGAGGGGAAGGTGAAGGTGATCATCATCATCATCATCATCAGGAGCAGCATCTGGCTGTTGTTCAGGTTATGAAGACTTATAGGAGAATTAACATCACATGACAGTAACAGTAGCATCTTTATATTTTACAGCTCAGACTGAGCGATCAGAAACCTCCACACAG